AATGGATTACTCTACTCTGAATTATTGTACGACTGTTCCATGCTTATACATATGTGATTATCAGCATGATTCAACGTATTTTCCCTCTTTCGATTATCCTTGTTGTAATATTAAACTGTAGACACTTTACTGTACACATCTGCTGCAACATTAAATATTTCTTTGTTTTTCTTTTTGCAATATTAAACAATAAATATTTTGTTACACTTAAATTACTTATTGTTTTCACTGGTAATATGTTCGTGATATTTTATAGAAACGTCTCAAGATAATCCTGTGTGAAAATTACGTGAAAATTGAAATACTATATCGTGCTTTTAATATATTATCTCATTTGGTACGTGACGTGACGCGACACGTTCCTAAGCATAGGGTGATAAACATAAACTACGAAGTCATCAAATCCGAGTATGTATTGCATTTGAAATCTTATGATGCAATAAATAGTTTAAGTTAATACATTTCGTCAGTGAAAGCAACGCAGCTAAGTAAATGAATAATTATCTGCCTATTTTCTAATACAGAATATTATCTTCGATTATCTGACGATATTTAATCTATCAAATCAATATACTGTTCTGTATACTTGGGAAAAAATTACAAAATATTGTAACATAGAGTTGTACTAAAAATTACTTCCATATAGTCTAATGTATTATAGTATGTAACACTTTTGAAATGTATTATAAATTATGGGAAGAATGATGTTAAGATTTTAAGAATAATAGTAAAATTATAAATTATGGAAAGAATAATATTAAGATTATTTATCAAAGTAGTGAGCAATGCATTGAAAATATTTGCGAGAAATTACAAAATTTGTTGAAAAATGCTTATCGAATTAAAATTAAAAAAAAAAAAAAAAACGAAATAACAGATATACCACAATGAAAAATTTCAACAGTGTTATCTAAAATCCTAACTGCAGTCAAACTAAATTCATTTATAATAAATATTCTAATATTCAAATTATAGAAAAAGAAATAAAGAAATTCTACTCGCGAAACGATATTATAACAAGATTTAAATTATAAAAATGACGTAACTTTCAAAAATGATTGAATTTCCAATTTTCGAAAAGGTAAATAAAGACGTTTTGATCATAAAATAATGTTACAACGTAGAACTGTAATTCTAACAACTGCTAAACTAAATTCCGAGATTTAAGTTTCAAAAATCATGTAATCCTGCAGAATAAAAAAGTTACTTAATTGCAAAATGTATGCTAATTCACACTTCGTTCGTATCTCATATTCAGCTGTGTCAGTGACATTATATCAGTCTATTCTATGATTATACGTTCTTGCCTTGAACACATTACGCATAATCAAGTTTTTTTTTTTTTCTTCACAAGAATCGTTGCGTGCGTGAGTACGTAAAGAGATTGCACGCGCTTTTCTTGCTCTAAAAAGAAAGAAACCACAAACGAAACAATTTACTCCCATTGATGGTGTTATACGCTCAGACGTAATGCATTAACTTGTAAAAGAGTTGTATCAGATTAAACAAACATGTTTTTCCATTTGATGTTACTAGGAAACAATGATATTAGAAACACATAAATTACACAAGGAACCTTATTTTTTCTTGCAAATAAAATCCATTAAAATATAAATAAACTCTGACTCTAGTGAAGTCTTTGATGAAAATTCAAATTATATGCAAATTTGCACGATTATTTTATTAATTTTAATTAGAAACTGTAAAAATTACACAAAGATAGGAAAATTGATCTATGTAATAGTCTAGCATTTTTTTCGCACTTTTAGTGAAAAGTACGTTGAATGAAAACCAGCGCAGGTAGAAAGGTGATCACAATTATACTTAGAAAATTAGCTATAATCATAAAACGTTGGAAAATCTCGGAACAATATTTTCAGGTAATTCTATTTCGAAGTTCTTTAGAAAAAGAATGGTTGGCTTTTGCTCGCACAGTGGTCTTCAATTTGAAGAAAAACTATTTCAAATATTAAATTTTAAAAAAACAACAAGTGTTTATAAATGAGAATATATAATTTGTAACAATAAAATATAAATATACGGGAAATAAATCTTTTGCAACAGAATAGTGACCGAAAATTAGAAAAAGTACTATAACAGTCAGACTTCATGTCAATTTTCAGACGTAGAAAAAATATTAATTGTACAAACCATTTGCAGCATATGAAATTTTGTACATCTAAAATTGTTTTATATTTAGAAATTTAATTATTTGAATTGTTCACGATTCAATCATTTCTCATCGCAGTAAGATTAATAATAAATAATTTGAACGTGAAATTTCCAAGATAATTCTCACTTTTCTTGCATTTAAGATTCTTAAAATATTTTCAAAATCTTTTTAAATAAATACAAAAAAGTGATTATCGCATAAATAATGCAATAAAAAGAAGTGTCTTAGAGAAGCTCGAACCTACGACCAAAATGTTTATAACAAATTTTCTGCTATTGGACACAAACAGTTGGAAACAGAAGTTACTCTTTTTAAATAAAATATCTTGAACAAATTGGGTTTTAATTTGCTTAACTACAACGTATCTTATCAACAAATCTGAAAAAATTTGTTCACCGTTACCATAAAAATATAAAAAGAGCTATATAAAAATTTCGAATGAAATCCAGATTTTTTTACATTTTTCATTTTTTATAACTAAGATTTTCAACGAAAGAATCGGAAAAAATCTCCTAAAATTTGTCTCTGTAACTACGATGCGTTAGATTTTTTTCAGAATTTTTGCGTACCACTAAATACGGAAAGTAGAGCGAAAACAGATAATCCAAATTTTCCCTATTACTACCCTCCTCGTTGTGATGGAAGGTTGAAACTTGGTGTCAAATATTTTCTTTCAGTAAGCTATCGAATGGCCCATCGCGAGATCAATTTGATTTAAGTGCACTTTTAAACCCTTTCCTCTAATATTGCAAAATTAATTCTCAAGAATTACCGAGAGAATATAATATGAAATGCATAAACTATATTTACTTTTTATCTTCAATAACACTGTACTAATGACGCAAGCTTACAAAGAACAATCGGCGAAAATATATGATTAATCATTTTTCATTAATTGATTCTAACAGTTTGTATTTCTATTTCATTACTCACCCCTCTTACTTACATACACGGCTCTCATTTCGTCGAAATACACAATTTTCAATAAAAAATTTCTTATTGATTCAATAGTTTTTATCTTATAATTCCCACTTTCCACTTGGAGGAAAGCTTCCACAATTAATCCTACGATGTGCATTGCCCACTGGAGTGCTCACTTCAACCCCACTCGAGTATTTCCCAATCATGGAGGGAGATTCCACGGCATATAAAAGTCTGACTGATACGCACGTCTGCTCAGTGCAAATTCTGTTTTTTCGAGGGATACATACAAAAGTGTATTTACAATAACTTGATAATAATTCAACTTGGTCTGAACCGAAGCTCAAAGTTCACCACACAATTATCTGGTCGTGCTTCGAAAGTTTTCCATTCGAACGAATCGAACACCAGCAATTTTCCAAAGAAAATTAACAAGGTGACGGATATTTCTCCTCGATTGAAACAAAGGTTTGTATGGAACGTGTTATTCATAGAAATAACACATAATGATTACGAAAATCGTTGATATTACGTTGTACCAGTTCTGTTTTATGCAATCACTTTTTCAAACATTTTCATTACCACGAACAATGATTGTTATAATAAGTATAGAAAGAAAGGAAGAGTGAAAATAGATTAATAAAACATGAGAACTTATTTACGAAATTTTAATTTTCTCATACCCAAAGAACAACAAATGTATTGGCAAAAAAGGGCAATTTCTAGAATAAATGTAAAAAAAATTTATCATTCAAAAAGAATTCATTTCAATAAGTTCATAATAAAGGAAAAGTGTTTGTATTTTCGTATTTTTATGTTACTATTCAAAAATGTTTGTAAATGTTATAAGCAACTTCCAATGAATATTATTTTTAAAAACAATTTTAATTATCTAAATACGATCGATAAATTGTAACACCCCAGTGAAAGGTAATATTTCTTCACAGGAGTATAGAGGACGTGAATGAAACATCGAAGCGCGCGGAGTAAAATCTAAATAAGATTTACGAAATTCTTATCAAATTCCGCGCCAACTGTCATCTCCCGGGTGATTGAGTATCACGTGACTCGAGATTAGCCGAACGAAGCGACTAAGGTACCGAGGTTATAAATAGCGGCCACCAGAGAGCAGGGAGCCTCTTTTACTTTCCACGCTGTAAGATAGTGCATTTGCTCCGTGTTCGCCTGACGATTACGTTCAGTGCTGTGCTAGTGTGGGATTCGCTCGTGCGAAACCAACGTAGAGTGTAGAGATCGGACTGAACTTTGTTTCCGTTAATTATTAGCGGTGTCAGGCAAACTGAACGCGTCAACGAATTCGGAACACGTGGCTAGAGTACTTAAGCATAGGCAAAAGAGAACAAAGCCCGCAGTGACGAGTACGAGAAGAAGGAAAATGCCGGAAACCGCTCACCACATGAACGGATACGCGAACGGGCACACGCCGCCCGAGCTGCAGCAGGACACCAGCTTTCTCTTCACCTCGGAGTCAGTTGGGGAAGGCCATCCAGGTAGGTACCTTAAAAAACATGTGTTTGCCTCATGACTGTCCTGCATTTCGATTCATCTTGTATGACTTTGCTTAAGTTTCCATATCGGTGAGTCGCGTGTGCCGCCATGAAACTCGATGAACAGACTACGCATATATACCGCGTGCGCACGCCTCAAATCTACCCTTCCTTCGCGCTTTCTTACTTTCCTTAAAAGCTTCGAAATGTGGGGATGGTGTTATGTTGCTACTTATTTATTACTTAGATCTTATTCTTATTGTCTATGAAATATCAAGTATTAATGTATTTGGGGTACAAAATAGAGACCACGTTTTTTCGTATTGATATCAAAGCAGAAAGCAAACACCTCCGGCGTCGCCATGTGCTCCTTTATATTGCTATTTACAATCTTCAATTTCTTACAAATTTTTCAAATTTCTTTGACATTTTTTTGACATTTCTCTCGATTTACATATCCATTAGACAATCTTTTTCGTTATTTTATGGAGTGTATGACTAATTTAATTCATTTTGTTTGCAACGTTTAAAAATCTTTTCACACGATTCCACTAAATGCTGAATTTAGTCGATAAATTCTTAGTCATGAACTGTTCTATCGAACTGTTATTGCTCTTGCAAGTGAAACCATTTACCATTTTGTATAACCTAAAATAGAGACTGAAATTTTTGTTTAATAAAACGATTTCGTATTACTTCCATTTAGTTTATTTTAAAACTAATTTCATGATATCAACCTCAGTTAAGATATATTTATTTTGAAAGTCATTTGTTTACATACATTCCTATGTATCAGTAGTTTGAAAATTACAATTTCTTCTCACTAAATTAAAATATTTTTGTTTATTCTGTTGCTATAATTTACTTAAAAGTTTTTGTTTTTTGTTTTTAGATAAAATGTGTGATCAAATAAGTGATGCTATTTTAGATGCACATTTAAAGCAAGATCCTAATGCAAAAGTGGCTTGTGGTAAGTTTTCTTAAAATGATTTTAGTTTTTCAACAGATTTGAATCTATTGGTGTATAACTTCTATTTATAAACTAATCAGTGTAACCTTGAGTTAATTTTGAAGCATAGAACTCTAAAAGGGCCTAGTACTTGATACAATATCTATAGTTTAACTGATTACTTAATATGAAGTGTTTATGTTAACTTACAATCTTAACTTTTTTATATTATCTTTCTTAATTATTTAGAGACCGTGACAAAGACAGGAATGATACTGTTATGTGGTGAAATTACATCAAAAGCTGTGGTAGACTATCAAAAAATTGTTCGGGATACTGTTCAACACATTGGATATGATGATTCTTCAAAAGGTAATAAATTTTTATTTCTTCTTCATGTTTCCTATTTTCAGTGCTGTATGTTTGTTAAACCCTTTGATACCCTTAAAATTTTGTTAAATTTATTTTATCTGTACATGTAAAACATTTAAAAATTTTCCTTGCTAACATAAGATATTTCCATCTTCTATATTACATACGCATGCCCTGTGGCCGGATGAAAACTTAATTATGTTATCCCTCAAAATTCGCCTCATTTGGTTCTCCAGAATCAGATTTTGCAAATACACGGTCGAATCATGGCACGATAGTTTCCAGCACTAAATATAAAGTTTAAGATGCCCACTGCATTTTATTACTAAATTATAAAAAGTTACATTTGTATGATTAAAAGATATGCATTTGTATAATAGAAAGATGTGCTTTACGCTACATACACGTTAGTAGAATGTTGGAGAAAATTCCATGACTCGATCGATTGGACGACCAATATCCTGCTCATTATCTTTCGAAAAAAAAAAAAAAATTAAGTAAAAGAGCACGTATGAATATGTAACGTAAGCATATCATGATCGTGGCAGGATTCGATTGGCGTACGTTGAACCTTTTGGTGGCGATCGAACAACAATCTCCAAATATCGCTGATGGTGTTCATGTGGACAGGGAAGAGAAGGACGTGGGGGCAGGTGATCAGGTACATAACCCATTCTCAGCCCGTGCCGCAGAGCAGCCATATAATTCAATAACACTCTCTTTTTTTGCTTTACCCTTTCCTTTTCTTATAATTTATTTTACAGAGTTTTTATAACATACACTTTCCTCATGTTATGTGTGATTGTGTGAATGTGTAAATCTGTGTATGAAAACAAGTACAAGTATTTGCGATATGTTTTATAATGTAAAAATCATTTCATCAGGAGGTTTTATGTGTAAATAAATTCCAGTTATACTATAAAATTTCTTAAGCTAAGAAAATGCATATACTAAATAAATGTATCATGATTATAATTGTCACAAAAAAAAAAAAAAAAATAGACCAACTCACATAACAACACATTTCATACATTTACATATTTCAACTAAGCTTTAATGTTACATAATATCTTAATTAAAAGACATTCTGTATAATATTAATATATATCATAATTAGCTTGAAATCATTTTATTTTCAACTGGTCTTAAAGCAATGACCTATGAACAGTATTATCTGAAAAAGCACAAGTTGGGATACAAAACACTAAAGTACCAGTGCAATGGAAGTGTTAATATTCATTGTGGTGAATATTTTTATCTCATTTGTATGATTTCTGCAGGTTTTGACTACAAGCTCTGCAGTATTCTGTTGGCGCTTGATGCTCAGTCACCAAATATTGCAGCAGGAGTTCATGAAAACCGTAGTGATGAAGAAGTGGGCGCAGGAGATCAGGTCAATTAGCATTCTGATAGCTCATTTGAAATTTCTGTTCTTCTTTCTCTTCTATCAAATGCATAATTACTCCTTAGCTTTCTAAGTAATATGTACATATTTCGTTATTCTTCCTACATCAGTTATTTAATATTTGAAATGTAATGCTTTTGTATTCTTAATGTTGCAGGCATATATTTAGTTGTGATAATATCACCCTGTAGTTTAGTCTCTTTTGCTGTTTCTTTCTATGCTGTATATATAGGCTGTATTGTATAAAACACCAGTATCTCATTAATGCCTTAGTATGGTTGTGGTAAAGGCATGTATATAACCCATTAGAATTTATATCAGTAGAACTATTCCATGCTCGATATTTATTTTCCACTTTTTTTTTTATTGTTTCTTTCACTGTCATAGCACAGTTATTTATCCTTTTACTGATTGTACTAAACACAAACAGTTTTAAACTGTTACAAATTAGTATTTGTGAAATTATTTGTACAAATAATTGCTTTTGTAAATGACATCTTTATTACAAACATTCATTAATTCATCTTATGTTTATGTTCATCTTATTCTTCCTTTATAGTACATCACACTACCTTCCCTGTAATACATTTCATGAAATTCATAAAAAATAGTTTTTCAAAAAGTAATTTTACATTTATGTTCAATTGTTTTCAGTCAACTCTAGAGGTTTTTCTTTTCTTTTTTTCATTCATATTTTCATTGGAGTGTATGTTGCAAAAAATAACATAATATAAATTATTAATTTATAAGCAGTTAATACAATTGTCCCAATATTGTTATTTAGTAATTCTGCTCTGTGTGACACCTTTCTTGCACATTATTAAGTAAATTTTGCAGTATGTTATGTGGATCGTAGTTGCTACAAATTTCAAAAATAAATTAACACATAGTTCGAATTGTATGTTGAATGTATTTTATGTACTTTATTGATGCTTAATCTTCTATACTACAAACTTTTATAATATTGCAAAATTAATTAAAGATACTGAATAAATCTGTCTCCTGCTTCAAGTTTATATCTCATAAATTTTAGCTGGAATAACTCAAATTGTTCTATCAGGGTCTGATGTTTGGATATGCAACAGATGAAACTGATGAATGTATGCCACTAACTGTTGTGCTGGCACACAAGTTAAACCAAAAAATTGCAGAATTGAGGCGAAGCGGTGAACTGTGGTGGGCAAGACCAGATTCAAAAACACAGGTATGATGTTCATCAATTAATTGTAAAGTTTTGTTTATTCAAATTTGTAGTATCGAAGCCTCCATACTCAAATAGGGAACCGACCAGGGAAAATAGAGAGGGAGTAGTTGGCGAAGTACGCAAAACCTCGGCTTGCCAAGCCCGAAGGTCCCGGGTTCGATTCCCGTTGGGTCCCTCGAAATTTTCCGTCGGTTTCTACAAATTTAATACAATTTTAATTTGTAATGATTTGTATTTATATAAGATTATTCAATGATGTCACATAATAGTATTTGCTACTCTTGAATGCCATGATGTAGAAAACATTACTGAGAATAATCTTACTATAAACAATATGAATCTTGAAATATATGTTATTGCTTTCTTTAATATGATTAATATTTTTTTTTTTTTCTCAATTTTGATAAAATAGGTCACTTGTGAATATGTAATGGATCATGGTGCCTGTGTACCCATAAGGGTTCATACAGTAGTGGTGTCATTGCAGCATAGTGAAAAAATTAGTTTGGAGGAATTACGTAAGGCAGTTATGGAAAAGGTCATCAAGGAAGTAATTCCAGCAAGGTACCTAGATGATAGAACAATCTTCCACGTTAATCCTTGTGGATTATTTATTATTGGTGGACCACAGGTAAAATATTGATTTGTTAAATTGAGTTGAAACTTCATAGAAAATATTTTAAAATACTGTTTATTTGCAGAGTGATGCTGGTCTTACTGGTCGTAAAATAATAGTTGACACTTACGGCGGCTGGGGAGCACACGGTGGCGGTGCATTTTCTGGTAAAGATTTTACAAAGGTTGATAGATCTGCTGCTTATGCAGCGAGATGGGTTGCCAAATCGTTGGTAAAAGCTGGTTTATGCAGACGATGCCTCGTACAGGTACAAATTGTTAATACTCTACTATGCTTCTAATTGTTATCCATAAAAAAATGTTTTTTCTTCTCCATATATGTGCAATTACCTTATGTTAGGAAAATATTAACAATATTATTTTTAGATAAAGATATAAGTATTCAAAATGAATTTTTAGGTTTCCTATGCTATTGGAGTAGCAGAACCTCTTTCAATCACAGTTTTTGACTACGGTACCTCAAAATTTTCTCAAAACGAACTTTTAGACATAGTTAATAAAAATTTCGATTTACGACCTGGAAAAATTGTAAAGTAAGTGTAATTTCTCTATTTTACATAATATTTTAAATAGAAGTAATTCAAGAAGTTACGTATAAAAAATTCATAATTTATCAGATGAACTTTGTGAAAAATTAAGGTTCGTAATATGTTATTGTTTTCCTAGGGAATTAAATCTTCGTTATCCCATTTATCAACAAACCAGTACATATGGACACTTTGGCCGGGAAGAATTTACTTGGGAACAGCCAAAAACTCTACTCTTTGATTGATGAGAGCATAAATTTTAAATTAGTTTGACGTTTTACATCGTAAAACGTCTCTTAACTCGCTCTCAATAATCATGTATCTCGTAAAACTTTTTCGAGATTTTCCGACCTCCGCGCTACTTCGCCAAGTCCATCAATTCCTTTTGCCAACTTAGTGCTAGCAGGAAGATTGTCATACTAGATTTTTCCACATCATGAGATACTTTGTATTATGTGGTATAGTACAAATTTCGTTGATCCAGCATGCAGTCGTTGTTCCTTTATTCTTTAAAAATTGAATCAAAGGTTATCAATCATTAGGTATAACGAAACTATCGACAAAGGGAAAGGTGAACTAAGCCTGATGTGAGTCTTTTGCCTGTACGTGTATTTGTAACAATCATGTAAGGTAGTTTACTTACCAATGGCACGATTCATTATTAAGGCTTGTAAGCAGTGTGTGTTGGAAGTAAAATTGATAAAAGAACAATAATATTTAGAATGCAAAACGTTCTACATTTGAAAAATGTATAAATTGGCAACATCAGACCGTGCCTCTAAGCAAACATTTGAGATGAAAATGTTCTCTCAGATTTTTAGCGGTATTAGTACTTTGTATGAACGTACATGAAAGTTTGACCAATTTGCTTTTGAAGTACTAATGTAATATTTTTTAGCTTATATTTGCCTTTCCCAGCAATTGAAAGTCAGCAATAGTAATGAATGCTTTCATGTACGTTTCTTCTTAGAATTGTTAATCGTTCGAGTGAAAATGTAAACTGATAACGACTATGTATATTAATTTTAGCAAAGTGGGAAAAAAAGTTAATTAAAATGACCAATTATAAACAAACTTATTTTTCATATTGTTTAAAGTCTCTGACACAATATAATATTGACTAGGAGTTAATAATATCGCATTTATTTAAATCTGTTTGTTAATTACATAATAAAATTTTTTAATTCTGTTTGAATTTAAGTAATCGCGATATTACTAGCTCTCATAATATTTATATATACATACATATTGTATACCTTTCCCTCTTTGCTCCGTTTGAATAGATAATTGTAGTAGTTATTGCCGATTTTGCAATGTATAGCAGATACTGCAAAATCGAATATAAGACCTTACTTTATGGAGGTCTAGTACAGATCGTGTGGCGGAGCTCGAAAATTATACGATTTTTCCACTTTGTAGTGTGAAGATCTATGACACACATATTTTAAATATCGACAGAACTGTAAATAAAATTTAGTAAATTCTTTCTGTTAAATTGATGTAACGATGTATCGTGTAATGGTATTGGCAGTGTAAAGATGCACAAGATCATCATATGCAAGTCATAATAAAAAAGATTTTATAATAAACATGCAAATTGTTCTTTATTTTGTTCCAAACTACTTATTAGTTAATTCCTTGGTGTTCCTCATAATAGCGTTTGATAACTTACTAAGTACGTATAATATTATGCTCAGTTAAAAGTTTTATTGGAGTTAATTTAATAGAGCTCTGTCGCACTAGAAATTGCGATTATGTAGTTAGAGTAAATTATTAACCAACAATTTTTACATCCTGGTAGTAGTAGTTTTCTCAGTAGTAGTACGAAACACTTCAAAATGAAATTCTTATTTTTTACATTTATTATAGCCTATGCTTTATTATATATCGTATTTAAACAATTTCCTACGGTTTTGCCATATTTAAAAAACTAAATTAAAATATGATAATTTGTAGTGTAAGTATTGGAAAATTCAATACAAACAATAATTTTAGCCAAATAATATATTTATTTTTACGCTACTATGTTATTTATTATATTTTTACATATTATGTGGTGCTGCTTGAAAATTGTATAAAGATATAGTTCAGATAAATTCTTGATAATATACCTAGCAAGTATCGGCTACTAATATATCAATACACTGCCTAAAAAGCAGAAAAATTCCAACCAAATAACTTTTAATACGACGAATACATTGGTAAACTATTATTGTATTGTATAAATTATTATTATACAAATTTATGTCCCTACTCTTGATAATATATTGGATATAAAATACATTAATAGAATGAATTTCATTTATATTATGCTATAATAGGCTTTATAGATAAATAATTTTGCATAAAGCAGCTAGAAAACTAGTGTAATAGAAATATTTATCATGTTGTAATAAATCCATCTGTTATAAATATTATCCATTATAAATGTATTCGATAAACATACTACATAATAAATAAATTATTTATTGTACATCATATAGATAACGTAGCAACAATCATACTGCTTTTTCATTAAAAAAAATTTCTCACTAAAATATATTTCGTTTATTTTGAGTGCCTTTCAAATCAATAATCGACATAAATATTTATGTTATTATATGTGGAATATAAATATTAATTACATGTATTATGTACAACTTTTGCTATCTTGCAAGCTTAACTAGGAATAATCAAAACAATGTAAAAGGACATATATAAGATATTTAATTATATTCTTACAATTAAAGTTATATACATAGAAGTACACAGAGTTGTATACAATATAAATGTCATGAAAATATATATAAGGAACAAATTTTGTATAAAAAATGTTTTGCTAGAATACTGTCACTGATCTATAATTTTAATGAAATATATAAGTTACTGAAATGTCATGTAATATTGTGAAAAAAATATACCGAACTGCAGATACATAAATTAGTCTTATTACATAGTTCATAAAATTAAGTTTTACTGCAAAACTTCTGTATGCAATTTTATGTATTTAAGAATAGTGTGAATTATTAATGAAATGTTTAGTAGACTGAAAGTGAAATAAATACAGTAATGTACATTTAAATGACGCAGAATTATTTCCACCAATTTTTAGAATTTTCTGCTTATTCCGTGCCATGGAAGTGATACCTGAACCAGAAATATAAAATTCTTATATTTTTTAACTTATCATTACAAAATTATTTTGATCGGATTTCTGAGATTCTAATAATTAAAGTTGATAACTTTTTGCCTGCTAATTTAAGTGTGCATTACTGTACACATAACATAAACACATTAGAAATATATTTGGAATTATTGAACAAATTGTTAGTGGACAATTATCTTTAGACATAATGTATTATATAAATTATTCTAAAAGATAAAAAAGAACATGATCATACATGCTTAAAAAAATTTCTGCTGAAATGTGTTGTGTTTAATTTAATATCAATTGATATTTTAAACCAGATTATTTTCAATAGCTGAATAAAATTAATTTGTTAGTATCTTTTTAGGTGCATGAATGCGACTGTGCCTTAACAATGAACTTTTATCACTGAAAGATTTTTCACATTCTACACATTTATATGTTCTACCAGTGTGTGTAACTAAATGTCTACTGAGTCCAGAAGCGTGACAGAAAGCTTTAGGACAAAGTTGACAATGGTGCAATTGGATGTCATTTGGATCTAATTTTTGATGTCTCCTCATATGTACTTTCAATGCTTCACGTTGAGTAAAGCTTTTATCACAATGTTGACATTGGAATGGTTTTTGTCCAGAATGAGTCATAAGATGGCGAAGTAAAATTTCTTTTTGTGCAAAAGCACGATGACAAATATTACAACCAAATGGTTTCTCACCTGTAGGATATAATTTTTGACATTATCAATTAAATATCCCTTTAATTTTTTGAAAATATAATAGTATATTACCTGTATGAGTACGTTCATGTCTCACCAAAGCTGACCTCGTAGGAAACCATTTTTCACAAGCTTGACATGTAAAACCTCTTTGTGTAGAGTGAACAGATTGATGACTTTTTAACATTATTCTTCGAGTAAATGCTTTTGGACATTTGTCACATCGAAATACTTTTAACTCCTCATTAGTTTCAACTACAAGAGACATAATGTACTAAAAGATTTCACATATGTATATTGATTTTACTTATATAAATTAAAAAATATTTACCCATGGTATCACCAATTGGTTGTAACTTTAAAGATTCTCCTTGACCTGAACTGTTACTTGTAAGTTCCATCATATAAACATTTTTGTGATCAGCATTTGCAATTGCTCTTTGTACTTCTTCTGCTTCATCTTCAGATTCCTGCTCTTGTTTAATTCGTGTTGTACGTATTGTACAACGTGCCTTAGCAGCACGTTCCTCAGCAGGTACTAGCGTGATATTTTCTGGGTCTTCTGACATTGTTTCTTCCATTTCTAAATTCTCAGAATTCATCCCTATAGAAAATAGAATAAATAATACATATTAAACGAAAATTTCATAAAAATTAAGTAGTAGAAAGTAACTGTTCTTTGACTTTATAAAAGACATTCTGAAAATACCTAAAATATAACCACCAACAAGTTCTTCTTCTGTCACTTCAATTGGATCTCCATCTGTTTGTCCACTGTCACCTTTACTTGATACTAAGTCTGCTAATAGTTGTTTAACTTGTTTGGATTTCCCACTATTAGAAGAATCTTTCAATTCATCCCTATTACTATCCTGATTTTCCCCTTCTTCATCTTGACCAGTTAATTGTTGTATTAATTTCATATGTTTACGAAGCTTAGCATCAGCAGCTTCACATTTTTTCTTAAATTGATAGGACTTTTCTAATTGATATTTGCATGGATGGCAAATCATGTTTGGAAGACCATCTTCTTCATAAACCTACAATACAAAAAACGTTAATCCTTAATTATGTATTTATGTATAGAATTATAAAATACATTTTGATATACGTATTACTTCAGGTTTATAAAATATAATAACCTAATGTTATTGTCTATTATTTACATTTGATATTCTTTTATCAATATATGAATAAGTATATACATGTTTTCAACTGTCATTAAGTTGTATTTTTTATCATTTAATTTTACAAACTACATTATCTTTTAACTTATTAGTATAAAAGTAACATGTTTGGAATTTTTAATAAAATAGTGGACATATGGTAATGTTTTCATAACCAATGGAACAATAGTAGAAAAAAGCATTGAACGCTTCGACTCTTTTAAAGTCATTGCATAGTATCGAATGAAAGTAAACAGGTAATATCCATTAGGCAGATACAAGGTGCCAACATTAATGCATTGGCCATAATATTGCAGATTTCTATAAATTCATAGGGTAAACGATCTGTAATACAATGATACGCTTCGTCTAGATTCCTGTACTAAAAGAGAAGGTGGCGTCAAAGTATCGTGAACGTAAAGTCGATAACTCGGTAAAGCCGGTAGTTGCTTTGCGCAGTCTGTCGCGCGTTGCATGAGAGCTACAGTTAAGTGTATCCTGTATACCTGCGTACGAATGTGTAAGTGACACTACAAATATGAAGCAAAATTGAAGAGCGGGAGAATCTCTTGCAGCGAGATAAACTAGATTCCTATTTTTCGATAAGCTTTCAATGTACGTACGAAAGACACATAACTAACGTTCCTTCAACTTAACTCTGTCATGTATTTATCTAACTAAACGTTCTAACTCACCTCCAAATTAACACAAGCCATTATTCTCAGAGATAAGGGGATAGTTTCATCGTCGTAAATCGGCACCATCTCCTCCTCCTTTGCCAAGCACAGTCGGCACAGCTCGTTCACATGAATGATTACGTTACTCGGGCTATCGCCCTTTTTCCTACTATATGTTTTCATTTTTACGTTCTCCACGGTTTTTTACACGTTCGTCAGGCAAATATTTTGCCTTTGACGTTGAGAAGAAACAGAATGTTCCTTAAGAAGCCCTGGAGAACGAGACTCAGTCACACACAACGGAATCTATAATGGCGGCGGCGGCGACGATGGTGGCGGTGGCAGCGGTGACGATTGACCAATGGCGAACGGGCGGCGCTGCAGTGCAGCAAAGATGGAGAATGTAATCAGGAGCTATCCACGCGTGTAAAAGAGAAAGACAGTTAGTGTGAAAGAGAGGCAACGTCGTTTAGGGTCTTCGTCATTGCAAAGTCGGTAAGGCCGGTAACTATTATTGATTTTCCATTCTTCCCAACGGCGGGAAACGATCCTTCATTCGCTACTATTGCAGCACATTCGAATTCCTCGCATACAATTCTGCGCAATAATATTTCATGTTACATTCCGTGAATTTGACCACTAGTAATTGTTCCAGGTAATGATCACCGTCATCTATCAAAATAATGATAAACACATTAATCGTATCGTTTCATAATAATGACGGAAGCAACAATGTTTCACAATGAACTTTATTCGAACAACGGTCTTCGTGGAGTATCGACTGTTCAAACAGGTATGTACGTGTAATTAGATTTGATATTTCTTTCGTCATTATCGTCACAAATAACGCAATTAAACACTTTCGACACATAAAATTACTGTGATCAACTGTATCGTGATGTATCTCCCGTACAGTAACTACGCAAACCACTTTTAGCTTCTATGTGACAGCAGTATTACATTAACATTTCGATTATCCAGCTCTCTTGGTAAGAAACAAAGTTATACAAACGTAAACATTCAGGTACCGTATTTTAGTACACATTTATCAATTTTATAAATACATTATGAATTTTATTTATAAAATTCTTTAGATATATCCAACATAATTCATGTAAAACTAATTTTATTTATATATTAACAATTTATTCGATAAAATCTGATTTATTTTGGTTGGTTATTACAAATCTGTTGCGTACATCTGTAAAATTATGAAAATAATTTTAAAGCTAATTTTTATAATTACATCATATGTACATTAGTTTATGAAGTACATAAAAAAGAAAAATTACACAAAAGAGAAATTATTCATTTTTGATATCTTTATAACATAGTTACAATAGGAATTTTATTTCATCTTTATTTTAAAGTTTCAACGCTTTATTTATTACTTTTATAATATTTAACAAGGACAAATATAAGGTAAACATAATATTAATAAATACAAATAACTAAAATGTTTAAAAGTTTCAAAGATTAATTATAAAATCTAATCGTAAATAACTTTCCACCTAATTATAGATCTAAATTTTATATTTAAAACTTGTACTAATTTTGATTTATGCTGTTGCATGCGTGTTTTTTTCTTTATATACTTATCATTAATAAATTCAATATTATTGTTATAATAGAAATAACGTAGAAACTGAATTGTACAAAAGTGTTATAAGTATACTTATAACTTTTATCCAGTATACTTTTCGAAGCGTGAAATTTCCTAAGAATACCAGCAGTGAAGTGTGTAAATACCTAAAAATAAGCGTTCGTTTTCTTTGTGACATAAATATGAAATTTCACGTATGCATTTCACACGATAAGCTAAATATCAATTTCTTTCATTTTAATAATCTACAAAAAAAAAAATCGAGAAAAACAAGAAACAAGGATCTCAATTTACATGAAGAAAGCGTTATTTTCAGACACGCATATACCATGTCATTTTGAAAGGGGACGATTTCCCTTCACGTCTGAAAGCAACGGTCAATAACAAAGTCTGTTGGAGAGTGGTCAACAATCTAGAAAAAGAGAATTTCAGGAAACGCAAAATAGTTTCCCACGTTTGCCAGGAGCGTTGTCGGATGTTGAGATTGGTAGAGAGTGAGGATCGAAAATAGCTAAGTCAGAAGAGGAAAGGAGAGCGAT